TCCATTTCCCAGCAGCACCACTCCCGTGTGGTTTCGAAGAGCTGTGGAGCCAGCATCATGACACCCCCCTGCCCTGTGCCACCCTCTCCACCCTCGTGCTGGGCCCCACTGTGGCAGCCTCTGTGCCAGCCTTTTTCACTGACCCTCGAGTTTACCGAGCACCCCTGCAGATGCTGTTACCACCATCATCACCAGGTGGGACTAACACACCTCATTCCACAGCTCAGTCCCGTCAAGGGCAATGGTACGATTGCCCCATCAGTCTCCAAACATTTTTTCCCCACATGGTCTCCTTGACATGCCTGCCGTCTACCGCACTATCCCCCGAAGCCCTTATTGTACTGAATGTCCCTTTCGGTGCATCACTCTGGGGGTTCGCGAGAAGCATCTAACAGGAGCTTCAAGAGCGTGACCTCCAAGAGACACTCTAACATGAACAAACAGAAGCCAAGCACAATAATACAAACCAAACATACGGAAAATTCACAAACCAGATCAGGTCCAACCTGCATCATAGGGGGGATCTGCTGACCAAGTTATAACTGTTCGAACTTTTGATCTATACGCCTCTCTTCCAAGCACTCTGTCTAGTGACCATTTTCCTCCCAACCCTTAATTTTAGATAAGGGGCGTTTGCCAGAGGCTTATTTCCTGAGTAGTTCCACAAATATCTTGGGCTCCATCACCCTCAGGACACAGAGTCTCACAATCTAGGCTCTGACATGATCCCTCCTTCGGCTTCGGACCCTGTGGGTTCCAGTCCTTTGGTGGCTGATGCTGGTGTGTGTCTTCCTGTGGACTGAGTTGCCATCTCACTTAGATGGCTGCTTGTTTGTAGACAACCCTGTAAGACCCCAGACGCTATTTTATCGGAGAGCCGGGCACCATCTAAAAATTCTCCACATTTTGCTACGGCACCATCTCTGTGCTCCCTTCCCGAGGGCGAGTTCCAAATGCTCTTTGGCCTTTACAGGGCCACTGGTGGCTTCCAACCCTGACCTTGCAGTTAGTAGTTCAAAACCCTGAACCAAACCCTCTTCCATCGAGCCAATGCCGACTCATAGGGACCCTACAGGACAGGGTAGAGCTGCCCCTGGGGGGTCTTCATGGGAGTAGAACCCCTCGGTTTCTCCTTCAGGTGGCTAGTGGTTCCAAGCTGCCCAGCTGGGTTAGCAGCACAACCCTTCACACACCATGCCCCCAGGGCGCCTTCCTAGCAGCTCAGAGAGTAGCCCAAACCCCTGTGGACCCCCCCCACACCCCACACCCATTCCCCTGGCGCAGGGAGTACTCACACTGGCTGTTGGAGACCAGGTTGTCTTGCCGCCACCAGATGGCAGTGCAAGCATCCAGAATAGATCCGACCAGGTGCCCTCCAGTTGCCCAGCCTGCTACATGGGCCTGTTTCCACATTCCCACATTATACCCCTCACCCCGCTGGGGCGCAGCCCCAGGGGTCTTTGGATAAGGGGGCTCTGTGGTTCAGCCCCTGGGGCCCACCCCTACGGTCCTTGCTGAGTGGGTGCCTGGCACCTTTTCCTTTTCCAAGTTGACAGATGGAGGAAGAGAGGGGAGAAGCCGAGAGGAAAGACTCTTCCTCGTCTGGAGTCCTGCGCCCTAGACTCACGTCCGCACTGGAAGCATGCAGGCCAGGCTACAGCGAAGCCCAGACCCCCTCACACCCTGTGCCCTGTGCCACTCAATGACGCCACGCTTCTGGTCCTTTGTTCCCTACCAGCCAAGCTCCCAGCGTGAGCTCACTGCCCTCGAGTGATGTGACTCCCAGTGGTCCTGCAGGAGAGGGTAGAACTGCCCTGTGAGTTTCCAAGCCAGTCACTGGACGGGCGTAGGAAGCCTCGTCTCTCCCGCCCGCTGAGCAGCTGGTGGTTTTGAACTTCGGACCTGATGAATCGCAGCATAACATGTAACCACTAGGCCGCCAGGACTCCTGCCATCACGTTAGGGGTGAAGCCCAGAAGCCACAAAGCCCACTAAAGAAGCACACCTGCCTGTGTGGTCATGAGGTGTCGAAGGGATCAGGTCTCAGGCATCAAGGAACACAAAATCATATCATTGTGAATGAGGGGGAGTGCGGAGTGGGGACACAAAGCCCATCTGTAGGCAACTGGACATCCCCTTACGGAAGGGTCGGAAGGGTCGCGGGAGGAGACAAGTCAGTCAGGGTGCAGTATAGCAACAATGAAACATGTAACTTTCCTCTAGTTCCTAAATGCTTCCTCCCCACCCCCACCCCCCACTGTCATGATCCCAATTCTACCTTACAAATCTGGCTAGACCAGAGCATGTACAC